GGGACGATAGTGGGAGGTTTCATGTCCCGTAGTGCCTGTTTTGCGGAAAGGGAGAACAATGGCGGATTTCCACAGCTGTGGAAGAACTCCTTGTGACCAAATAAGATTGTAAAGGTGTAATAGGACTGCAAGGGCTGACTGATGTAAATGTTGTAGCATACGAATATGAATGTCGTCGGGCCCAGCTGCCGATGATCGGCAAGCTGAGAGTGTTGCCTCCAGTTCTTGAAGTGTAAAAGGCACATTATACTGTTCTTCTTTGAGAGAAGAAAAGTCCAAGGGTGCTAACACTCTGGCAGACTTTGAGGAAAGAAATGAGGGGCATAGATGGAGTCCCTGAGAAATACGGACCAGATGATTGCCAATTTCATTGGCAACATCTAGTGGGTTTGCAGAACAGGAGCCGGGTCAGGAGAATATTTACCACTCAGTTTTCGTACTTTTTTCCAGACTGCACTCATAGAGGAAGCAGAGGTGATGGTGGAGACATCTCGCCAGCAAGTGCGTTTAGCGTCACGGATGACACGGCGAGCGATCGCACGTTTCTGCTTAAAATCAAGAAGTCTCTCTGTGGTTCTATTGTACCGGTACCTGCCCCATGCAGCGCGTTTCAAACGTACTGCACGAGCACAAGCAGGAGACCACCAAGGCAAGCATTTCTGAGAATGCCTGCTCGAAGTTTGGGGTATAGAATGAGAAGCTGCGGTTAAAACGGAGGACGAGAAGAGGTGTAAAAGCTCATCGGTGGAGGACGAAGAAGGAACCTCTCTAAAAACAGTTAGGTGTGAGTAAAGGTTCCAATTTGCCTGATCAAATTGCCAGCGTGGGATGCGAAGAGGTGGTGAATATGAAGGGGAAATAAGAATGATTGGGAAATGATCGCTGTCATGTAAGTCCGGAAGAACAGACCAAGTGAAGTCTAATGCGGCAGAGGAAGAGCAGACCGAGAGATCGATGCAAGAGAGAGTGAGAGTCCAAGGATCAAAATGGGTGTGAGTACCTGTATTTAAAACATGGAGGGGGTGGGTGGCAAGAAAAGCCTCTAACTGAATGCCACGGGAATCACAGTGAGAATCCCCCCAGAGGAAATGGTGGGCATTAAAATCACCAAGTAACAGAATCGGTGGCTGTAATGACGAAACAAGAAAGGCAATATCCGGAATAGATAATGCCCAAGAAGGAGAGAGATATAAAGAAGAGAGCATATACCACCTATGCAAGTGGATACGGGCTGCTGTGTAATGCAGCGAAGTACGAACAAATAGTTGATGGTACGGAATATCAGTGCGTAGAAGAAGGGCACTTTCATTAAAGGTCCCATCAGGAAAAGGATCTGAAGTATACAATAAATTATAGCCTGAGATGGGAGAGATAACAGCAGAGTGTAATTTTGGTTCCTGTAAGCAAACACCAACAGGGGAAAACTGGGAGAGTAACATCTGAAAGCTCACCCCGATTACCCCTGAGGCCGCGTATATTCCACTGTAAATAGGCCATGATTGGCAATGATAAAGATACCTGAAATCCGCAGGTAAGGGTTCCTACGGACTAGAGGGGTTAGAAAAGTACACATGCGGAGGCAGTGGAAAATGTTCAAGCAGCGAAGGAACGGTGCTCTGTGAAGAAAGGAGTTGCACAGATGGAGTAGAGGAGAGAGAAGGAGCAGAGGGTGGATTAGTGTCCATTGATGGTTTGGTCTCTGCAATATATTCAGAGATTGCTTCAAGTGTTTCAGAATTCAGACGTCGTATGGGAGACAATATTGGAAATGGTAGGGGGAGGATGAGTAAAGATTGGAACTGTAATGGACTGTACCAAAGTAGGGGGGGCGAAAGGGTGGAGGGAACTGGAGAAGCGTGGAAGGGGACAGAAGAGGCAGAAACCTGGGAGGTGGCAGAAGAGGAAGAAACTTGGGAGGGAACATGGGAGGAAGGTACAGTATGAGGAGGAGGGTGAACCTCTACACTTGTAACAGAGCCAGTGAGAGGGGGAGAACCAGGTACAGACACAGGGAAGGGAAAATGGGTAGGAGGTGTTAACGGACCTTTTTTTGACTTTTGAGAAGTAGAGGGACGATTGGGAGGAGGTGTCATACAAGATCTCGTCGCTACTGAGGCTTGTGAGAGAAAACACGAAGAAGCGAGATCAGACTGAGACGTTCAAGTAGGGACGTCTGAGCCGAGGAGAGCAAAAGAATTAGCTACGGGAGTGACTATGGGAGAGGTAACCACAGAGGTGGGTGCAGAAGATGGGATACCAGAAGTGGGGGGACGTTTTGAAACACGGGAATAAGAAACACGAGGTAGTCTCCCTTGGAGGCGGAGATGAGAAACTGCCATGGCATAAGGGAGCCCTTCTGCCTCTTTGAAGTAACGGATTTCCCGCTCGTTTAAGGAGACTTGACAACGGCGAGAGTACGAAGGGCGAGCCTCATGACAATTAAGGCAAGAGGGAGGTCGATTGCAAGACGTATTAGAAAGGTCATCGGCACAACAGACTGGGCATTCGGCGATAGATCTGCAATATTTCGCTGGATGGCCAAATTGCCAGCAATTTCTACACTGTTGCGGTGTAGGGATCACCTTTCGAACTTGTAACCAATGTCCTGCTACATAAACTGAGGATGGGAGTTCACAGCTGTCAAAAGTTAAACGAGCCACATTGCTAGGGTATCGTCTCCGCCCGCAGGCAGGAAGAACGTAAGTGTCTACCTTGAGGATTGGGAGATCTTGGAGTTCCAGCTGTTCAAGAATGTCAGTGCCAATGTCTGGAAATTTTGTTGAACTATGGTATGGGGCAGAATGACGGTACCACTACAAGAATTGAGGGAATGATGCTTTTCAATAGTGACAGGAACAGTATCGATATGGGAAAGACGAGAAAGCTCATGAGCCTGGGTAGCATTCTGTACGGTGATGATGCGCGTACCGCTCTTAAGAGCATGAAAAGAAATATCTTTACCAACATGGCGTAGGAGTGCCTTGCCATTACTGTGGTCAGAAAGATAGGCAGTAGAGGAAGTCGGTCGTAAAGTGAAGAATTTAGTCCAATGTGCAGTCTGAAACTGAGTGTGGAAAGGTAGTGAAGGACATGTCGATCTGAGAAGAACGAGAAGGTGGAGAAGTATCATCAGCAGGTAATTGTCATTGGCGTTTAGGCGTGGGACCAGAGTTGGTCCGACGTGGAATGGGCCGGCGATTCGAAAATTGCCGCACCGTAGAGGGAGAGGCCGGAAGCATAGTCAGAGAGCGAAGGTCAGATAAATCGAAGGAGTCAGTCGAAGCCTCAGTACCTGAAGCGGGTGAGGAAACAGCACCGGCAAGAGGTACAGAGGCATGAGGAGTGTCCGAAGAGTGGTTCAAAGACGAGGCGGGGTCAGAACGGGATGCGGTATCAAGAAGGGGCCCGGGGGTAGCAGGTTCATGGACTAGGGCTGCCATGGTTAGGTTACTTCTTTCTTTTTGTTTTTAAGAAAAAAAAGAAAGAAAAGAAAATAAAATAAAAAAAAAGAATAAAAAAAAGGGGGGACTGGGGAGGGATAGTTCCTAGGAGGAATGAAAGGGCCAGAAATCTCCCTCCGCGCCCAAGAGGACCTCAGCACCTAAAGTAGCGCAGATGCAGCATGGAACCCGTGCCATACCCTACCCATCATGCCAGTAATCCGGCAATCCGGAATAGCAACCTCACATCTGCCGAGCTACCTCGGTGGACAAAAGAGAGGACGGCTGGAAATCCGCCACAAAGCATACCTCCTTCGGCCACCACCCCCGGAATCCGAAAGGTGGCTTCCAGAGATACACCCGTCGCCTGAGAGACACCCAAAGGCACCCTCCGGGATACCAGAGGGGGATCAGGACATCCCCAGGCAATCCAGATTCCACGGCAAACTACACCACCGCCAAGAACCTCAACAGAATGGGATGGACCCCGGTACCCTTTCCCTTACCTAGGAACTAGCGTGCCTGTGGGGAGAGAGAAAGAAAGAAAGAAAGAAAGAAAAAAAAAAAAAAAAAAAAAAAAGCCAAAAAGGAAGGGCAAAAGGGAGGGGTGAGGAGGAGGATGAGGAGGAAAGGAAAAAGGGGAGGATGGGGAGGATGGGATAGGGAACGGGGGATTGGGGGGTAATTAGGTTCGGTCTGAGGAAGTAGACCGACAGGTCTAATTCCTCAGACCAAGAGCCTCTTCACCATGCCAAGGAGCCCCCCTTGAAGAGGTCAAACTGATAAGAAAAGTAATTCTTGAGTGGCTTGGTAAGCAACGCTCTCGTGTTGACCTGATTCTAACGATTCAGTCTTCTTTTTTTAACGAGTTCAGTAAAATTTCAAATTTGCACCTAGTAAGACTGAACTTATGGGATATTATCCTTCTTACAGGATACATCATAATTAATATTTTGAAGCCAACCAGAAAAGGCATTCTTTAGTTATTAAATATAAATTAATTTCACTATTCACTGGGTGACAAACTTGGACTTTTGCCACCCACTGGTGAGGTTTCACCACTGATAAAACCTCACCATTATTATTATTATAATAATCAAAAAGAAGCACTAAACCACAAGGGCTAAAACCTCACCAGTGGTGAAAATTTCACACCAGTCAGGAGTTATTCTCCAGTTATGGCACAGATTCCAATGATTACAAGTTTTTTTTTTTTTACTATTTTATATCAACACATTTGCCTGCATGCAAGATTGATAGACTGAACACATCAACTCGAGGCTGAGGGACTGATTACCTCAAACTTCTCCTCTCCTTACACATTTCTGCTTTGTATTGGACTGATGAAGCCACTGTGTGGCAAAACATTTCCTAAATAAAGATACCCATATGTTGCATAAGTGTCTGAATCTTCAACTTGTCAGTATTCAAAAAAACAATTCATCACAACTGTCAGACACTGCATCTTCATGGGATCTTGATCTCAAAGAATTCTTCAAAACTTAATGGGTACTAACCTGGCCATATGATGCATCAGCCATTAAATATTGAAACCATTCAGAAGAGGTAAAAATAAATTTATTTAACATAATTTAACAGGAATAAAAATGCGACAGTATTTTACACATATAATGGCCAAATCGAGCCAATTCATCACTGGACGTCTGATCGATTTTAAAACTTTGAACTGATGCGCCATTATGGAATAAGCCCGATCCCTGCACAAGAATCGGAAACAAGATGTTACCTGAAAGTGTTAGAGTCCAAAGGTCCTTGGAAGTGTACCTGGGTCAGCTGTGTGTGCTGCAGGGAAATGGGGCTCAGACAAAACACGAATATGACTACCTTGACTTTTTTTTTTTAAGGAAACGTTGGGGGGGAGGGGTAAATAAGAGCAGCTCCAGAGAAACCAAGAAAGAACCACATGTGCATAATTACTGCCCCCTACTCTACCCTTCATGTATGTAAACCAGCAAATCTAGTATGGTCAGTGGTGTACAGCACATGCCCTGGGCACCACTGGAAGGCAGGTGTCATTGAGCAGTTTCTATTAAAGTCAAACAAAGCCATCCTTGGATAGTAAAAAAAAAAAAAAAAAAAAAAAAAAAAAAAAAAAAAAAAAAAAAAAAAAAAAAAAAAAAAAAAAAAAAAAAAATCTTCAGATGTATGATCTGTCTGTGATTATCATAGGAAAGCACTAGGATGGCTCGACTGTTAAACCACCTATATAAATTATTAGGTAAAAATACAGTGCCACACCTCAGTGCCACTGCTTAGTGCCAACTAGCAGCAAGACCATTCTCCTGCACAAACTAGGGAGGTAGTCTACAATTTTCCACAAATTCTGTGAAATTTATTGTTCCTGCTAAAAGTGCCATTTCTTTATTTCAGAGCACTGTGTAAGAAGACTATGAAATGTTTCTTCATGAAGGAAGCAATTGGAGCTGAAAGACGGAAGAGACGAAAGTTGGAGGCGGAGAAAGTCAAGAAGTTGAGCAAGTTTTTCCACACCCTTCTTTGAAAAGCCTGGAACAAGCTGTTTAACACGTTCCATGGAGTCTCCTACACCTGCCACAAGTATGCTAGAATCCCTCACAAGCATTTTGTGTCTGTTGTTGTCTCTGTTCCCGGTCAGACCATCAATCCTCATTGGAGTAGGAAAGTGGATTCAACCAGTGGAAAGCACCTGAAAGGATTAATGGTTATGAAAATGCTAAGAATTATCAGGAGTTTCACACAGTGGAAAGAAATGCTAAGCAATTTAGCTGAAAACAGAGGAGTTATTGATGCGGGTACTGCTCCCTACCCTACCTTTCAAACTAGCAATCCAGCATTCTAGACTGGCACTTCCCAAATCAAATGAGCCATTTTTAACAAGAGAGGGAAGTGGCCGGTAACATGGCAAGGATCACATCCCTTTGGCCGCCACCTCCCAGAATCAACAGACACCATCCTAGAATACTTCCATCACACAAGGGCACATGACTGCCAACCTGGGCCCTGGAGGGAGACCCTGCATGACCCCAGATAATCCATTTCACATAGCAAACAGCACTACCACTGAGGTCCACAATGGAATAGGACAGCAATCCTTTTTTCCTCTGTCATGGAGCTGAAATTCACGTGGGGTAAGGAGGGGATATCCCAAATAAGGAGGCTGAATGGAGAAAGGAAGGGATGAGTGGGAGTTATTTAAATTCAATCCGAGGAAGGAGACGAACTAATTCCTTAGATCAAGAGCAAAATGCCAAGGGAAGTTCCCCCTCCCTTGAGATGGTTTAGTTTCTGAAGCAAGTTCAGTCAAGAGAGTCATCACTTAAATTTGTAGCCGAGATTTTTCTACTGGCCAATTTCTATGTAAACACTTTTGTGTGTGTGATAATAAAACAGTGATGTGATGGTATTCAGGTTTTCAACTTACTACACTCTGCTGATGTTCCATTCTGATTAATCAATTTTGACAATAAGGAAAACATGGCATGTTACTTGAAATTGAAAAACAACAAGTTGAAGTTATTGTATATGGCTAGTATTGCCTGTAAACAATTTAAATGTCTCAATAAAACTTGGACTTGTTGTGAGTTCTCACTCATGTTGTGGAAGATCTTCATCCACTTAGAGCCGAGTTTGTTTTATACACAGGATCATCCTTCCATGTCGCTGTTGCAAAATCACGTCGATTAAGGTCTTCATGTTTAGGCATAAGTATTGAAGTATCACTTCCTCTAGAGTTTTTATCTTCATCATTGCTCTTTGGGCCAAGTGTGTTTTCTAGTTCTTGAAAACTTAATAGCCTTCAAACTCTTGACTACCACTTCACTTCAGTTTTAACATCTCTTGCTTGCACCACTTTCAAGTCTCGTCATGATTTATCTGAAACATGAAATGGAAATTACACCTCAACCATACACGTAAAGAGGAGGGTAAGATAAATCGTCAGCTCCTAATCTATTACCATTACATTCATGGGGAGAGCACTAAGTTCCAATTCTCTGTATCAAGAACCCCTCACCAGTATCAAGACATCAAAGGGCATACCTATTAAAGTGTCATATTCAGATCAAAAATTCTTTCCTCACAAAATTCACTTGATACCCACAATTTTTGATACTGTAATTTATCAAGCACTGTAATATTTTTATTTTTATTTATTAACACTTCAGCCATTTCCCACCGAGGCAGGGTGACCCAAAAAAGAAGAAACACTTTTATCATCATTCACTCCATGGGTGACTCAAAAAAGAAGAAACACTTTTATCATCATTCACTCCATCATTGTCTTGCCCAAGGTATGCCTACACTACAGTTCAAAAACTGCAATATCTCTCCTCCCCTCCAGAGTGCAGGCACTGTAATTTCCACCTCCATGATTCAAGTCCGGCTAACCTATTTACCTGAATTCCTTCATTTTACCTTGCTTGCACTCCAACAGCACATCAAATCATGAAAACTATTTGCCTCCACTCCTATCTAACATGCTTATGCATGGTTGCTGGAAGTCTAAGCCCCTCGCACACAAAACCTTTACCCCCTCCCTCCATCCTTTCCTAAGATTTATATGCTCTCCAAGTCATTTTATTTTATTTCATCCTTTCTAAATATCTGAACCACCTGAACCCCTCCTCAGCCCTCTGGAAAATACTTTGAGAAACACCATACCTCCCAATCTCCAAGCTACAGATCCACGCATAATATTCACGCCACACACTGCTCTCATACACGAGATCCCCACTGCCTCCAGTCTTTCTGTTGCAACATTCACCACCCATGCCTCAGACCCAAATAAGAGCACTGATACCACTATACTCTCATACATTCCCTCTCTCTGCTTCCATGGATAATGTTCTCTGTCTCCACAGACTCTTCAATGCACCACTTACCTTTTTCCCCTCATCAATTCTATGATTCACCTAATTATTCATAGACCCATCTGCTGACAATTCCACCCCCAAATATCTGAATACATTCACTTCCTCCATACCCCAAGTACCCAATTAGATTTAAATTATCAAAGAGTATTAGTGAACACAGTAAAATCAAGAGACTACCATAATGAAGAGCTCTGTTCCCCAAGTACAGTACATGCTCCTGTTCTCCTTCTCATATCCAACGTAAAGACATGTACGTACTATAATCTGTATGAGGGTAGAATTCACTGAGGGAAAAGCAAACCTACAAGCTGATATAAACAGTCTTCCTGAGAGCTACTAATACAATTTGATATCAATTATAAGTTTCAGCTACTCCGCTATGGAAACATTGAGGAAATAGACTGGAATGGAGTATAAAACTAACTCAAGTCACTCAGCAGAGCATAATACTAATGTGAGAGACCTGGAAGTCATTTTGTCAGAAGATTCCACCTTTAAGGATTACAGCAGTGTCACTATCACAAATTCAAGGAAAATAGGTTGGATAACTAGACCCCAAAATGTGTCACTTATCACTCCATGAAAGAAAATGCTACAACATATACTGCCAGGCACATCATCTAGAGGGGACAAGAAGACACAGACCAGCCAGACTATGGGAAATATAAGAGAGGAGCCATAACCTCTCCAGAGAAAGAGGTTTTCTAGTGCTAGTAAGGAAAAAAAGACTGGCAAGAAATGACAGAAATCTTACACCAAATGAAAACACTTCTGGAGTAGAGGCACAGTCACTGGCATCCACTCCAGAACAACAGATATTAAAGCCAGCAAATAAAACCCCCCTAAATTCCAACAATATAATGACATTTGTCTTTGCAAACATACAGGGTCTAAAGCCATCAACAAACAACAAAATTCTTTACAACAAGGGACTGCTCATGGAGTCAAATGCAATGTTTGAAGCTTTCACAGAGAGCCACATAGAAGATTATTTTGACAACGAAATATGGATCCCAGGTTATAACCTACTCAGATGTGACAAACTAAACAGGCAACAATGGGGGGTTGGCATGCAAGTCAGAGTCACTCATTTGCTCAGGACTACTAAACACCTCAAATGATGTAGTTGAAGTTTTGCCAGTAAAGACTGAAAACCAAAACCTTGTCATTGCAGTTGTATACAAGCCTCCAAATCCAACTTCCCAGCAATTCCAGGAACAGCTTTTGAAAATTGACCACTATCTGGAAAATCTCCCAAATCCTGCCCCAAACATCTTGCTACTGGGAGATTTCAACTTGAGACACCTAAAATGGGGTTGTGTAGCAAATACAGTGGAACCTCTACTTGCAAGCACATCCACGTTTGAGTTTTTTCAAATATGAGCAGTCGATGGGTCGATATTTTGTTTCCATACGCGAGCAAAATTTCCATAAGCAAGCAGACCTCAAGGCAGGTTCCTTGAGGCTGGTGAGGGGCTCTTGCTCTTGATCTAGGGAATTGTATCTCATTTGTTTGTTGGACTATCTTATTGAAACTTGGGCAATGTATGATGGAAAGATGCTTCTTAACGTACACCAAAAATAAAAGAAATCTAAGCATAAATAATGGAGTTCACTTCTCAGCAATTAGCCACAACTTAGCGGTATTTTTGTATGATTTTTATGGTTGTATTCTCGTCTTTTTTGTCTCATTTGATAGAATGGAAGATATATTACAGAAATATGTATAATTTTGATTGCTTTCGTGACAAAAAGTACCTTGAAATTGAGCTCAACAGGAGAAATGTTCAATTGTTTTGGCTAAGTTCAAGAGTAAACAAATGACGTCACTGTCCATTCCAATGTGCAGTCGTGAATGGGTTGACATTTATACAATTATTGCAATAAGGCATAAGAGTAAATCTTATTTTTTGTGTGAATAAAAATTACAAATTTATATTGTAATAATAATAATACAGGAAGGCCCCGCTTTACGGCGTTTCACTTTACGGCGTTCCGCTAATACGGACATTTCAAATTATGACCAAAACTCACTATACGGCTCCCCCCACCTGACTTTCTAATACGGTCACCGTGCCCCACCCTGTTTGTTTACATTCTCCATGAGCTCAGTAAGCACTAAGTCTCTCCATTTTGTCTGGAAACTCCAAAATTTCAAATGTTTTTAAAAGTTATTTCATATTTTATATATACTCTGATAATTATACTTATGTATACCTGTACCTAAATAAACTTACATACATCGAGTCATTTAAATGTCGTATATTACGTTAATATACACATTTTCATTAATCCATCCATGATATTTTTTTCAAAATTATATAATAAACACGATGCATAACATATAAATAAGATAAATACACCCCACAGTAGAATAAATAAACATAAATGTGAGATGTGAGCAGACGACTTCCACAAGTGACGCCATAATAACAATAGTCACCGAGTCTCATTAAATGTCATATATTACGGTAATATACACATTTTCATTAATCCATCCATGATATTTTTTTCAAAATTATATAATAAACACGATACATAACATAAAAGATGATAATCACCCCACAATAGAATAAATAAACATAAATATAAGATGTGGGAGCCTGGTTTGTTTACATAACTCTGCGCCTGTTACCTCTCATGTACTCATTCTTTCTCTCTCTCATTTATTCGTTTTATCTCATTTACTTACTCCTGACCCTACATTAAGACTACAAATATTTTAAGGTAAGTAATGAGTGAACTGTATATACATTTTATCGCTCTGGGATGCTTAAATATCATAGAATAGTATGTGTGGGTGGGGTGGCCTGGTGAGGTAGCCTGGCTATTACAATACATACCACACTTGATTTCTTACAATAAATACTACTTGTCTCACCCTAGATTAAGACTATAAATATTTTAAGGTAAGTAATGAGTGCACTATGTGTGTATTGTACTTTTTTATTGTTTTTTGCTGCCTGGTTCTATTGCTAACATAATATATGTTAGTGTAAACTTGTTATCTAGTGTTTGTATGCATTTGTAAGTGGAAAAAAAGGGTGTTCCACTTTACGGCGGTTTCCGCTTTACGGCGGTAGCCTGGAACCTAACCCGCCGTATAAGTGGGGCCTTCCTGTATGTATAATAATAATAGTACGTATAATATAATGCAATAAGAATATGTAAAATAATAATACATATGTAATAATAATGTACTACATAATAATTATAACAGATGGCTTCAAAAGGCTGTTACTAGATCGCAGTGTTTACCACAACAGAGGGAGCAGTTGTGGCCGCCTCCACCTGTTACATAATGGTATACAGTGGACCCCTGCATAACGATTTTAATCCGTGCAAGAGGGGTAATTGTTATGCGAAATAATCGGTATGTGAATGAATTTTCCCCATAAGAAATAATGGAAATAAAATTAATCCGTGTAAGACACCCAAAAGTATGAAAAAAAAAAATTTTTACCACATGAAATATACATTTTCCCACACACAAAGAGAAGGATACATGCACAATAGTAGAGTAGTACATGCACAGTATATATTGTGCATGTACTAGTCTACTAAATGAAGAATAAATGACACTTACCTTTATTGAAGATGCAGCAATGACTGATGAGACACTGTGTCCTGGGAGTGCCTTTTCCTCCTGAGTACTGTAGGTCCTGTTTGGCATTTTCTTCCAGAACAGGCCTTATCACACTGTGTATGCCACTACGATTCTTAAATCTCTCAAACCAACCTTTGCTGGCTTTAAATTCACCAATATGAGCACTAGTTCCAGGCATTTTTCCCTGTTCACCTGGGTGTTAGTCGACTTGTGTGGGTTGCATCCTGGGAGACAAGATTAAGGACCCCAATGGAAATAAGTTAGACAGTCTTCGATGACACTGACTTTTTTGGGTTATCCTGGGTGGCAAATCCTCTGGGGTTAATTGTTTCTTGGTATTCTCAATAAGCCACACCAACAACGGTGCTACAGCAGCAGCAGCAGCTGACGGTGGT